GAGGGAGCAACAGGGGATATCGAAGAGAGTTTTCTACAATAAAACAAGTAGACTGCAACTTCCAGGTGAACCCCAGAAGTGCAGATGATGGGATGCGCAAATGCAAGAAAAAGTAATGAAGGTTGGTGGTGAGAGTGAGATAAGACGTTTCGGTCCATTAAGTCATATAAATTCTGTCAGTGCCAACAATTTCTACCAGTATCCATTGTTCTTCCCCTCCCCCCTCTCTCACCGCTAATAGTCTCGGCAGTCCTGTTATCTCGTTTTATTTACTCAAATGTGAAGTAGTGAAGAACATACTTGATCAGTTGTTGTAAATGATTTTTAATAGCAAGGTCCCTCTTCGCAGCAATTACCAGGACAACCGCAATAATGTTTTGCTCGTTGTTGTCAACAACCATCGGTTTCTGCTCGCCTTCCGCTGATGATGAAACCTTAAAAACCAGAGATTTTGAAAAAAAAAATTTAAAATTCGAAAAAAAAAATTTAAAAAATTTTTTTCGGAATTTTGAAAAAAATCCGAAAAAAATTTGGAAAAAGAAACCAAAAAAACCAGAAAAAAAATCTAACAACTTTATTTTGATGTACTGGTCAGCTACATTTCATCGTAACTCATCAAGCAACGCTCAGGTAGCATTCCTCCCGTGATTGTTGCTTGTTTATCGAAGCTGAATGACCTGGTCAGGCGACGGTACCAGTAGCTTAACCACTAGTTCGGTCTATTGAGGATGTTGCCCGACCAAAAAAAGGTAATTTAACCCGCAAAAATGGGGGGAGGCGGCGGAAGAAGGCGGAAGGGAGAGGGGGAAGGAAGGCTATTCTACCGCAAAAAATCATAACAAATCTAAACAAAAAAGGCAGTTTAGTGAGACAAAAACCAATCTGTGAGACACTCAATTCTGTCATATGAAATCATTGGATAACCTTGAAATGCTCATGAGCCAGGCTCGTCAATATTGGCCGATTTGTCTGGGAAAACAAGTGAATATCCGGCGAATTTTCCTCAAAAACAATAATCCATTCAAGGTACTCAGTTTTTTGTGACCCCGTACAATGACATGGAAAACCAACCCCTCTTTGACCCACCCAGTGTTGTGGATCTGATTAAAATGCCGGGGTATTTTTAAGAAAAAGCTCAAATCTAGCCTGTCCTCTTCGCTCAAAAAAACTTTTACAGCCTTGCCAACGTGTGGTTGCTACTTATAAAAGTAACATAATTCATATCGTAGAAACAGTCATTTTCTTGTAATTCCACTTTTCAAAAAAGACTCGGTACTTATAGTTTATAAAGCTAACATAATTCATGCCGTAGAAACGGACATTTTCTGGTAATTTCATTTTTCATAGTACAGACTCGGCCATTTTTTTTTTCCAGTTCCACTTTTAGTGACGAAAATACTCAGAAAAGGGCACAACGAGAAAGAAATGGAGGTTTTCACCGCAATTTCGCCTGTTTTGGGGGAACCTTTACCTCAATTTCGATTGTTTTGGGGAAAACTTTTACCTCAATTTCGATTGTTTTGTGGGGAACCTTTACCTCATTTTCGATTGTTCCCGGGGGACCTTTTAGCTTAATTTCGATTGTTTTGGGAGGAACTTTTACATCAATTTCGATTGTTTTGAGAATGCTTTTTACCGCAATTCCGATTATTTTGAAAATGCTTTAACTAACTAGATGAAGAGTAATAAAACAATTTCCTGGGCTTGCGCTGATAATATTTTTCTTTTTTTCATTAATAAACTTCCCTCGTAATTAAATCCCAATTTTATTTTCCCCTTAACAAATCCACATTAAACTTAACCTCATTTACAATTTGTTAAATTTTAAACCTTAGTTTCAACTGCTTTCGCTGCGGTATTTTGCACGAGAGGCGGCATAGCACCAGGCAAAACATTCACTGTTTTGCTTTCCAGAATTCTTCGATCATTGACCTGAAAATAAGG